AGTAGCTGGGACTACAGGTGCCTGCCACAATGCCTGGCTGTTTTTAGAGACGGGGTCTCACTCTGGCTCAGGCTGGTTTTGAACCTGTAAGCTCAGGCAATCTACCCGCCTCCACCTCCCAAGTGCTAGGATTATAGGCGTGAGCCACCATGCCCATTCAGTCTATTTCTTTTTTGCAGTTTTTGGCAGGGGCCGGGTTTGAACCCTCCACCTCTGGTATATGGGGCTGGCGCCCTACTCCTTTGAGCCACAGGCGCCACCCCATTCATTCTATTTTAACCAATCAAATTTAAGGATATAATGACTCATTGGTCTTATATTCTCTAGCTCGACAAACTGTAAACAATATCCTAATACTTTGAGAAAGGTATTCAAAGACCACTGAGAATGCCTCAAAAGTACATAATACTTGCAAACACAGACAGCAGTTGGCTGAGAGGACAGATCTTGCAACTGACAAGAAACCAAGGAAGTCATATATTAGCCAGCAACAAGGAAATGCTATACTCACTCAGGGATGAACACTATCTAACTAAAGCTGGTACTGAGTTCTCCTTTCTCAGCAACACAATACCATCAACACATTGATGAACATAGAAAAATCATTCTTGGAGGTCATCAGACCTAGGAGCTACACTAGCATAGTAGGGCATGATGAGCACATATGATTACATACTAAGCCTAGAAAAAGATGTTTCCTTGCATCCAACCTTTTTAATGACTGTGAGACTTGGCTCTATCTCCAAAATAAAGTCAGATTTCTTTAGCATCATCAGCAACATTGAAAACCAGTCTCAAAACATCAAGAAAGGCTCATGCCTGTAATCCTTGCACTCTGAGAAGCTGAGGCACTCTAAGAAGCTGAGGCAGGATGATCCCTTGAGTTCAAGAGTTCGAGACCAGCCTGTCAAGAGTGAGACCCCAGCTCTACTGAAAATAGAAACATCAGTTGGATGTTATGGTGGGCACATATAGTCTCAGCTACTTGGGAGGTTGAGGCAGAAGGAGCACTTGAGCCCAGGAGTTTGAAGTTGCTGGGAGCTAGACTAATGCCATGGCACTCTAGCTAGGGAAAGAGTAAGACTCTGTCTTAATAAAAAAGAAAAAAAAAGCATCAAGACAGTCCCATTAAGGTTCATGTATTACAGTATGCCTGTTAACTCTGCAGTCACATTCACCATTTCTAAACTCTACTGATTAGGGCAGGCAGACAATAGGCAACAAGCAAGATTCCTAAGCAGTTAGTGAATAGCAATAGGAATAAAGTAATAAAACTGCATATTTATCAACCCAAACAAATGACAACAGACATTCTACAAAGATAGCAATCAAAAATAGAAAAATGGAGATGTAGTCCTTTAGACTATTGGAGCTGCAAAAAGTAGCAGAATCCATCATCCAGGGCCATGTGGATTAACCAGAAGAGTGCATGTATTCTCAAAGAGCCCAGGTAACTATCTCCCTCATCAGCTATAAGTATAGAGGCATGTTATTATCACTGACAGCTGCATCTTCATTTTTATTTTTATTTTATTTTATTTTATTTTTTGAGACAGAGCCTCAAGCTGTCCCCCTGGGTAGAGTGCTGTGGCATCACAGCTCACAGCAACCTCCAACTCCTGGGCTCAAGCGAGTCTCCTGCCTCAGCCTCCCAAGTAGCTGGGACCACAGGCGCCCGCCTCAAAGCCCAGCTATTTTTTGGTTGCAGCTGTCATTGTTGTTTGGCGGGCCCGGGCTGGATTCAAACCTGCCACCTTGGTTATATATGGCTGACACCTTAGCTGCTTGAGCCATAGGCGCCGAGCCAGCATCTTCATTTTTAAAGTGAACAATCTGTATATCAGAAAAATTCCAACTGAGACACAGCCCAGAAACTCTCAGGAACCTAGGACTTAAAAGATGAACATTAAAAAAAGAAAAAAGGGGGCCAGACAGGGTGGCTCATGCCTATAATCATAGCACTTTGGGAGGCCCAGGCGGAAGGACTGATTGAGGTTGGGGGTTTGAGGCTAACCCAAGCAAGAGCAAGAATACCCTGTCTCTACAAAAAAAAAAACCCAGAAAAATTAGCTAGGCGTTGCAGCACACACCTGTAGGCCTATCTACTCAGGAAGCTGAAGCAAAAGGATCGCTTAAGCCCAGGAGTTTGGCTGTAGTGAGCTATGATGATGCCACTGCACTCTAGCCTGTGCAATACAGCAAGACCCTGTCTCAAAACAACAACAACAAAAAAAAGGAATTGTGAATCCTCAAACCATATTTAATTTCTAGACTAAAACACTGAATGCTTTGTGTTGTGAACAATGGTGTGATTGGAGGAATGAATGTGGTCAGGAGGGGTTGAACCTGGGTAATGAGAAAAGATGGCAAAGTGTATAAACTGCTAGACAGGACAAAAGGGAAAATTCTGTTCATATAACAGAAAAATGGGAGCAAAACTTATCTTTGAATCTCACTAATTCAGATGGCCCTTTGAATTTAACAGATAATGGGGCCTTACTAGATAAGATATTAATAGTAAATCAGAGCACCCCGACTGCTAAATGCCAGGAGCTACTGAGGATGGGTATCCAGTTAGCCTGCAGTCAGCTAAGGGAACTGGACAACAATGGAAAAGAGGCATGAGGGAAGTCCTACCTTACAGAGAACCTTGGCCATCTCAAAGGTGCCCACAGTATCCATATTGGAGGCAATGATGGGGATCCCAGTGTACATCTGCTTTGAATTACGAAATGTAAAGGATCTTGTGAGATCCACCTGCAGATATGAATATGAAACTGAGCATTTCATTCATCAAAAACAAAACAAAAAAAAGCATGTCCTGCATTAGGACAAGGACTGGGCACCTTTCTCAGTTGATCAGGAGCTTGGGGTCAAGAACAGACGTAGCGGAACTCGCTTACCTCACTTCGAGACTTAAGGGTGTTGCGTTTGGGCCTCAACAAGACATCCTTGAAGTCCAGTTTCACGTCGTTGTCGATATGAGACATGACAGGAGCCTCGGGATAGCGATGAATTTGAAGGCTGGAAAGCAAAGTTATAAGGACCAACATCCCCTTGGGCTTTCGCCCTCGTCTGGCTGGCAACAGGGTTCATCTCTCCTCGTTTAAGAAGTTGAAAGTCGAGCACCGGCTTGGCGCCTATAGCTCAACCAGCTAGGGCGCCAGCCACGTACACCTAGGGTGGCAGGTTCGAATCCCCAGCCCGGACCTGCCAAACAACAATGACGGCTGCAACCAAAAAAAAAATGGCCTGGCGTTGTGGCGGGCGCCTGTGGTCCCAGCTACTTGGGAGGCAGAGGCAGGAGACTCGCTTGAGCCCAGGAGTTGGAGGTTGCTGTGAGCTATAATGCCACGACACTCTACCCAGGGGGACAGCTTGAGGCTCTGTCTCAAAAAAAAAAAAAAAAGAAAGAAAGTCGAGCACCGACCGAGGTGTGGTCCCTGAAACCTGTCGCCCTGACCCGTCCCGTGGTTGCAATTACCTTTGGTGTCTTCATCTCAGGTACTGTTTGTTGGAAAGGAAAACTGGGAAGGGATTGTGAGTGAGCCTGAGGGTTCATTTACCCCATTACACTTCCTTCTCCCACCCCTGCAGAGACCAATGGAGTAAGTGCTGATCTAAAGGGGAGTAAGCTGGTTCCCATAACCAGCTTCCGGAACAGGTCTACTCACTTCCTGTTGCCTTGGTCCAGGTGACAGTTGACCAAAGATCCCTTCGCTTAGCAACTAGTCTCGAGCAGCCCCCTTAAGCCTGGTGAGCCACACCAACAGGTTCCGCTAATTACGGGCGAGAACCACTAGCCAGGAATTCCAGCTTCGATAGCGACCGAACCAGGCCTTCTGGGTAACAGGGTTCACACAGTCCGGTTGCCGTTGGATCCGAGGGGCGGGAGACTACAACTCCCAGCGTAGAACGGGGCGAGTTGCTCCCTGGCGTGATGGGAGAAATTCGTTCCGTTCCGGCTTTCCGCTAGCCCGGGCTCGCTAGGGACTCTAAGAATCTCAGAGATGTCATCTCCGTCGTAACTAAACTGGCCGCCTTCTTTTTATTTGCTAAGCCACTGCACCCAAACCCGGGAGCATCCCTGAGCCTCTCAGGAGCCCGGTGGAAAGAAGCGGGGGGGGGGGGTGTGTGAAGCCAGATAGTGACCCGGAAGCAGAAGTGACTTCCACCGGCGGAGTGCTGGAGAGCGGCAGCAGGGACCACAGCGGCAGAAGCAGCAATTTATCCGTGTGCAGCCCCAAACTGGAAAGAAGATGCTAATTAAAGTGAAGGTGGGAGCACCTCCAGCCTTGCCAAGACGCAGTGGTACTGGGCTGGCAGCTGTGCCTTACGGGAAAAGTGGGGAAGGAAAACCACGCCTTTCCCGAGCCTGGAGGGTGCTGACAGCCTCAGGGCTCCGCGCGAAGGGTGTTGGGAAAGAGGAGGGCCCCTGGAGGGCTTTGAGAGCAGGGGCTGACCCTTCCTGACGACCCTAGTGTCTCTGGCGTCCCTGCTTTCTCGCTAGGAATGTACCGTGACCCAGAATGAGGACGATTTTGTCCGAGGTTTCACTGTACTCGAACTCCTGCAGTCTTAGAGAAGGCCTAGCAGCAATTTGGCTCCCCTCTCTCTTGAATTCTTGGAGTAAAAAGCTCTGCTCTTCATTTTTCATGCCCAGGGTTACCTGCTTCTCCCGGCCCTACCGTAGGCTGCCTCCAAACACAGCACTAAAAACATTAGCCTGAAAGAACTGTGATCTCCTAGGGGCTAGTTTGTGAGCCCTTACTGGTGTTTGCCAAGGTATATATAGTATCTCGGCCATACTTCACGGACCAGGGCTGGGAGGGAGTGTTTTCAGTCGTTACTTGCTTTTTTGAGTCAGTCATCCTGGACCAGCTTCACTTCTTGACTGAGACAGGTCAGTTACCAGTGCCCTAGTTCTTGGTACCAGCCACGTTTCCTTAATCGTCATCTGTTAAAGCCTGTGTTTATTCTCCAATTTACAACAACGCTTATTGGACCTATCTGCTATTTCCTCTTTTATATCTTCAAAGACAAAACCGATAATTGATGCAGTCCAATTCTAATTTGGCCTTTTATAGCTAAGTCAGTCTACCGTTATTTCATCAGCTCCTTACGTATTTACCATACATAACAGTCATTGTTAACCTTCTTTTCTCGAGTCTTAGCTAATGTCTGAGGCCAAACAGCATGTTAAAGATCATTATTTTCCAAACTTAAGAGTCATGAGATCAGTTTAATAGACAGTGGGTTCCAGGCAACTTTTTTAAAAATAGAAAATAAGAATATACTGCTGGGTAAGAATTTTTATTTTCAGCCCACACTAAAAATTTTACACTATGACCCATACAGACACAAAGAACTTACTATGTGTGATATGCTCTGAAATTTTCAATTCTATTCTAAGTGGTTTTTAAAATCCAATGGTGGGTTTAGGCCTGCAGTTTAAAAAATGCTGTTTGAAAAAAAGAAACCAGTGCTATATGTGGAACCTTGAAAAAAAAATACTGTTATAGATGAGCTTCTCAGACTTTAAAATGCTAAATAATCACTAAGTTGTTTTGCTGAAATGCTGCTTCTGATTCCAAGGATCTAGATTGGGGCACAAGATTCTGCATTTCTAACAAGCTTCCAGGTGGCTGATGTTACATATTTTGAGAATTCACTTTGAATAGCAGGGTTCCAGATTTTGTCTTTTCTTTGAATCTGTTTTTATTTTTATTTTTATTTTTTTTTTGAGACAGAGCCTCAAGCTGTCCCCCTGGGTAGAGTGCCATGGCATTACAGCTCACAGCAACCTTCAACTCCTGGGCTCAAGCGAGTCTCCTGCCTCTGCCTCCCAAGTAGCTGGGACCACAGGCGCCCGCCACAACGCCCGGCTATTTTTTGGTTGCAGCCGTCATTGTTGTTTGGCAGGTCCGGGCTGGGGATTCGAACCTGCCACCTTAGGTGTACGTGGCTGGCGCCTTAGCCGGTTGAGCTATAGGCGCCGAGCCGAATCTGTTTTTATTTAATACTTCTTTAAAATTGCCAGTTTTCTGTGATGCTTACCTTTCTGCCTCCAACAGGTCTCTCTTCTATGTCTTTTGTTTGCTACATCTCTGTTTGCTAAATACATATGAAAGCAATGAGATAGCTGTTAATTACTATACAAATGATAAATTTTATTAGAGTTCCTTTGTGAATTATTCATTTTTCAACTGTTGTCTCTGTGTAGATGACTTTCATATTGTTCTATAATCCTTTGCAATTAAATCCTCATCTCTGGGTTTTTAAAATTAAATGCATCATCTTCTATCTTAAGCCAACTCCCCAATACACAGCTCATATCAATCTACCAGGTGAATAGAATGCAGTTCTTTAGTCATTGTTCTTTTATAAGATCTGATTTTTCATTTGAAACTTCTGCTTAATTTTTTTTTCCGTTTCCATTACTCTCACTTTGTTCAGAGAGTCTCATTAACTTACATCTTTATTTCTGTATGATACCTCCAACTGGGTTTTCCTACTGTAATAGCCCCTCTAAAGTATAGGATCTAAACCAAGGCCTGGTGTACAAAAAACATAATGTATAGGTCTGCCTTGAGCTTTTGCATCAGATTACTCCCTAATCCCAGATTATGCATTAATTTCCTCATTGCAGATTACTTTGGCAACTCTGTTTACTATGAGTGCCTATTTCCCTCATTTGTGCAGGGTTTTTTGGGGAGGAGGAAGGAGGTTATTTTTTGTTTCTGAGACAGAATGGTGCTCTGTTACCTGGACTGCATCATGAACCACCATGTCCAGCTATTTTGCTGTTTTTTGTAGAGACACGGTCTTGCTATATTGCCCAGACTGGTCTCAAACTCCTGGCCTCAAGTAGTCCTCTCACATTGGCTTCCCAAAGTGCTAGGATTACAGGCATGAACCACCATATCTGAGCTATTTTTTTTTCCTTTTAAGATACTATAAAATCCATGGTTCTTTTTATTTTTTTGAGACAGTCTCATTCTGTGCCCTGGCTAGAGTGCCATGGCATCATAGCTCATAGCAACCTCAGACTCTTGGACTCAAGTGATACTCTTGCCTCAGCCTGCTGAATAACTGGGACTACAGGCACCTGCTACAACACTTGGCTGTTTTTCCTATTCGATTTTTTTTTTTTGAGACAGCGCCTCAAGCTATCCCCCTGGGTAGAGTGCCATGGCATCACGCTCACAGCAACCTCCAACTCCTGGGCTCAAGCGAGTCTCCTGC